GCCTCAGCCAGGAAAACAAAGTGAGGGCCGAGGGTGGGGACAGAGCACTGACCCGAGGGAGGGATAAGGAGCATCCATCAGGGAAGGGAAGGGACCAGATGACTCTTGGGAGAAGAGCACTTCCTAGAACTGATGTGTTCCTCCCTCCCTCCAAACCAGGTGATTGGCGTGAAGGACCCGCGAATGGGAGAAGAGATCTGTGCCTGCATCAGAGTGAAGGCCGGGCAGGAGTGCACGGCGGAGGAAATTAAAGCCTTCTGCAAAGGGAAGGTAGGATCTCCCCATCCATTCCCAGGCCCTGCCCACGTTTGCTTTGCTTTTCTCAGTAACTCCGCATATTAAGGGCCTGATCCCCAGTTGGCATAAATCGCCTCAGTTCCATGGAAGTCAGTGAAGTCCTCTACACCCACTGGGGATCGGGCCTGAAACCGGTCCCACGTATTCCTGACATGAGCAGTGACTGCCATAACGCTGCCCTTTGTAACCAGGGGTGATAGACGATGCCCTGTCTGCTGTTACTTTCAGGCTGTAGCTGTTGGCTCTCTCGTTTCAGATCTCTCACTTCAAGATCCCTCGGTACATAGTGTTCATGAAGAAATATCCACTCACCGTCTCAGGGAAGGTAAGGGACAGCCCATGGACCAGGGTGCTGGGGCGCTGGGGACTAGCTTCCCCTGGCTCGTCTCTCCTCTGACTCTCTCTCCTCCATGCTCCAACTCCAGATTCAGAAATACAAGTTGAGAGAGCAGATGGAGAAGCAACTTCTGTTCTGAACACAAAGGTGGAGGATCGAAGAGAAGCACGAATGGATCCACCTCGGCCAGTCTGGTGTCTCTCCATCCACACCAAGCCAAGAACAGCAGCTGGGAGCTGGTTCCCTGCCCCCACCACCCCGTTATACGGCTGGCTACCTGAAGTCAGCCTGGTGATGCTGTCAATTAAAACAAAGAAAACCCTTCTTTTTCCAACTGAGAGTTTTTCATAAAGAATCAGAACAGTGGGGGGAGGAAGGATGGAGACCAAAGGAGGGGGCATCCAGACAACTAGGTTCTACTCCTGACAGCCACTCCTTTGATATGGCCTCTGCAGGACTCTCTAATCTGTGTATGTCTCATGATGAGTCTTCCCTACCTTCCAGGGGGCTGCAAAGTGCTTTGAGATTCCCGCGGTGGGCGGGGCTAGAGAAATACAAATGATTCATGTTTAAATATTTAAAATGTTCTGCCCCATAAGGGCCCGAGGCTGTTGTAGGCCACCTTATGCTTCAATTCCCTGGCAAAAAAAAACCCCAGGGTAGCTGCGTCACTCGGAAGGAAGGTGGGACTAGATTTCCTGGGTGATATGATGCTGCCCTGGACCTGCTGCTGTCCAAAGAGTGAGGATCTGAATCAGGAGAAAGGGCTTTAGGAAGAGCCAGCCAAGTTCTGCCTCCTTCTGCCCTTCCTCGGCGCTCAGGGGATGTCCTCGTGAACAGCAAACGGGGCCCGAGCCTCCCAGGTATTTAGACTCCTAACCTCCATTGAACTCAGTGTGGGTTAGGAGCTGACCTACGTGGGAGGATTAGGGCCCCGTTCCCTGCAGCTGAATGGAAGGGATGGAGTCAGAGGACTGTTTCTGTTCCCAGCCCTCCCCTGGGTGTTTTGAAGTGACATGAAACTCAACTCGATCTCACAACCGTTTATTTCTGCCTGGAAAGGAAGCTCATTAGACACGGTACAGAAATGCCAAAAGATCCATCCCGTCGGAAGCACGAGACAGAGCGTGCCCGGGACGGTGGTTTTACGGGAGTTATTTGGCGCCTCCCAACCATGAAACACTGAGCAGAGGGGCAGCGGGCCGAAGCTCCTTTTCCGCTCCGTGCACAATGTCCCACTCCAGCTGGAGATCAGATAGACGACCGATGACGATGATCCTGCACCACTGACCTTCCCTTCTCCCTGCTGCTTGCCGGGCGTGTGCTGTGGCAGAGCCGTATGGATTCATAACACTTTCTAAAGAGCTCTGCTAGGGCCATCCTTGAACTCCTCCCAGGACCTGGAGCACACTGAATCGTAGAGTGGAGAAAACCATGCTCCAGAAAGGACCCCAAGGTCTCTTTGCTGTTAAAGTTGAGGCATTTCCGCTCGCTTTTCCACTGCAGAACTGCTGGATTCGGTCACAGGAGGGAGCCTCTGGGCCAGCCCCTCGCAGTTCCCGTTTCTTACGGAATGTGTAGAAGTCCGGAGTCGCTGCTGGTTGTAAGGTGCAGTCTCTTGCTCCGACTGCAGGGATGGATGGGGCAAAGCTAATGCCTGTTGGAACTGGCCTACCCAATGCCCAAGCACTCTGCTAGGGGGCAAGGATAGTCTAACCTCTTCTTTCTCCCCAGTCCAATGTCAGAGACACACACGCAGGGAGGAGCAGCGAGAGCAGGAGAAGGGAGATGGGTCAGTGGATCCTTTATTTGTTTCCCAGGGGTCTTAAGTCTCACAGCTGTAAAGTGGGCTCTACCCATGGAAGCAGATCCCCAGAATGAAATATCTGAGGTTCCTGCTTTTCATCTGAAAGAAAACAAATATGACACTTTGTTTCAAACCCAGAAGCTTTGGACTGGCAGTGCTGTGGGTCTAGCGGTGCATGTGAGTGTGTGATATGTATATGGGTGAGAGATGGGTGGAGACACCCACCAATAAATAAATACTATTTATTGGTGGGTGTTTCCACCAGGGACAGCTCTAACTTTTTTGCCGCCCCAGGCAAAAAAGAAGAGCACCGCCCTGCCCTAACACCCCCCCCCCCCGAGTGCCGTGCCGCCGACCCTCCCACCCCCCCAGTGCTGCGCCGGGCCGCCGAAACCCCTGCCCCCACCCAAGCGCCTCGCCGGGCCACCCAAACCCTCGGAGCGCATCGCTGGGCCGCCCAAACTCCCGGAGCACCGCGCCGCACCGGGCTGCCCAAACCCCCGGAGCGCCGCGCCGAGCCAGGCCGTCCAAACCCCTGCCCTCCCCCCCAGCGCTGTGCCGCGCTGCCGAAGCCCCCGCCCCCCCAGCGCCGCGCCACCAAAACAAAACAAAAAAAACCTCGAGCGCCCCCCTGCGAACAAAAACAAAAACACCGCGAGCGCCCCCCACCACCCCAACATTGGCCACCCCTTATAAGGTGCCGCCCCAAGCACGTGCTTGGTCAGCTGGTGCCTGGAGCCAGCCCTGGTTTTCACCCATTTAACTGGAGGTGGAACATGTGCCATTTCCAGCCTGCTCTTGTTGCTGCATTCCTTGGCCAGCAGGGAGCGCTGACGTGCAGCATGCACTCCCTTCACCTGTGGGGCAAGGCGCTTTGAATAGTCTCCCCCACTGAACCTCTGACAGTGGTGTTGGTTGCGGAGATGCACTTCTCCTTTATTCCTAGTTCCTAAGTCAGACCGTTCCCGTGGTAGGCGCACAGAATTCATTGCCCTGGGTGTGTGTTACACAGAGGGGGCTGAGTATAACCCAGGATGGTAATGACTCAGAATCAATAACATCCTAGCAAAGATAGGGCAGATCTACAGTCCTGCCATCAAAGGAAACAGAGAGAAGGGAGGTGAGCTAATTTAATCTTTCACTGGACCAATTGCTGTTGGTGAAAGAGGCAAACTGTTGAGAAGTTGGTCCAGTAAAAGATATTCCCTCACCCACCTTGTCTCTTGAATATCCCGGGCCCAACACGATGACACCAACAGTGCAAACAATCAAAGGAAATCACACTTCTCACAGTGTGAACACGGTGGTGGGGAAGGAGGTAGCTCATGAGAGGAGTGCTCCCCAGCACCCCTTTCATCGCAGTGCATTTGGCACAGTTCTCGTGTTTGATGGAAGTGCGCTGTATACTCACTAGGCTAGTGCACCCCCTGGTGATTGATGGAACAAAACGGTAGAAAAGATCGTCCAGGCATTGATAAGAAGGAATACGAGGAACCATTGTGTTACCCTGCAATAAATACATCAATAATTGATTACAATCGGCAAACCAGCAACCTGTAAAACCTGCTACCCACCCCACACACACTTCTCTCCCCGTAGCCTGGGACATCTCAAACAGGCCTTCATATCTATGCAGCAGAGCGGCATTGCCAGGAGCCTCAGTAACATGGTGCCAGTTTGCGTGAGTTCTAGCTGAAGCCAACATCTAGCAACTCCCCCCTCACTGGCACACTGTTCTTCTCCCACGAGATGGAGCCATGTGATCTGTGCTCAGCTATTCCAGCAAGGGGACCTCAGGGTTTATGTGGCTGTAGTGCCAGCCTGGTAGACCCAGACATGGAAGTTCTCTTTACCTACAGACCAGCTACAGAGTGGGCAGCAGCAATGCCTGCCCTCCCATAGCATCTTCCCAATGGGCCGCTCTCTGCCCACCTCTAGGTCCTAGTCCCTGGCCCTTGACCACGACTGGGACAGTCAGAGCAGGAGCCAGAGGCGGGAGGCAAGGCAAAGGTCAGAGGTGGGCTCGGCTATTCAGAGTCCAGGGACAGGGAAGGCAAGAACCAGGAGCGTGGCAGAGAACCAGGGACAAGTTGGGAAGGCAGAGCTCAGGAGTCAGGCACCGTAGGCAGGGGCTGATGGAGCAGCCAGCTAGGAATTCTCCCAGTTGCAGACAACTTGCTCTGTCTCTTTCTGGCATAACTAGCGCACCCGACCCAATCCTCCACTCAGCTTCTGGGGATGGGGGGATCGTTAGTGGAGCATAAGGCCTTAGGCCTCCCAGTTCTCCAGTCACTAGCAGAGCTATTGAGCAGTGGGGCGGAGCAGCAGCCACCTGGGTTTGGGACCCAGATCCTCACGCCATCAGCAATTCAACAGCAGCCGTCATTGCCAGTTGTGAAGCTGTTTCCTTTGAAGTGGACACTGGACAGAGCCCACTCGCTCCTTCCACATAGGCCTCCCGCCAGCCACCATACGGGAGTAGCGTTTGGTCACTAATCCTCTGAGCTGGATCTGAACCCAGGGCCTAGAGCGGAAGGCTGTGTGTGCCGTTACCCATCTCCAGATCCCCTCCCCATCCAGCAGCTTCCCCCCTGTGTGAGCACACCGAGACTACCAAACTCCAGGAGAGTGCACTGGTTCCTGTCCTCCCTGCACCGTCTCCCTCTCCCGCCGGGGATCAGAGCCCAGTTCTCAGCATACACTCACCTGGCGGGAAGCAACAAAGCTCTCAGGCTGAAGTGCTGCTGTCTCCTCTCTCTCGCCCTCTCCAGCTGTTTGGTGCATCTTTTCTTTTTATAGAGCTAACCCCGCAGGAGGAAATTCCAAGCTGGCCTCAGCAGTTTCAGGCTGAGTCAAAGACGGACGTGTCACATCACAGAGAGACTGGAAGGCATCCGGAGCTGATCCTGCTGCAACTTCTCTTTTTCAAGTGTTTTTTCCCCTCTTCCGCAGCAATAATTAATTTCTCCAGAGCTATGAAGAGAACAAGCCCTAAAAACAACCGCACAACTCCTTGAGCTGGTGCTGAGGAAAGGATATGACACAGCTGCCTTGGGGGCTGGGAAACTTCCTCACACCAGGCTCCCTTGAGTCAGGGTGAAATGTCCTGGGTGCAACTGAGGGCAGAAGCAGAGATACTCAGTGACTAGGGGAGCAGGGGTCAGGGGCTGGGGCTACCTGGAGTCACCAGATAGCAAGTGTGAAAATTCTGGACCCTTTTTTTCATGGGAGGGGGTATAGTTGCGTCTGTAACACACAGCCCCCAATATTGGATTTGGGACATCTGGTCACACTAGGGCTACCTCGGTGGCTGGTGAAGGGTGGGAGGTGAGCTAACGGGATTAGCAGCACCCCATGGATGGGCACCAGTGGGATACTCCACTGCCTGATGGAGGTAGGGTGACCAGATTGCAAGAGTGAAATATCAGGACACATTGGACAAGCGGGGCGGGGGGAGGGGAGAGGACGACAATGACAGACACAGGTGCACAGAGCCATGAGAGGGGGCCCTAGGAAGCTGTGAG